CAAGTGGGGAAAAATTCCCACGCAGAAGCAGCCTTTAGTGTGCCTAGGAAGCTGTGACTGCCTTCTTCTTTGCTGTAGGAATGAATAGGTCAGCAGTCATCATAGGTAGGGTTGCCAAGTATAGCTTACCTCCACAGCGGGGGACTCCCGGGTGGATCCCGGAGCGCGCGCGCATGTGTGAAGCGCACGCCGCACGCACGCCACCAGGAAGTGACGTTATGACGCTGGGCACGCTGGGGGCGGGACCACGACCATTTGAGGGGAAACCATAGAGTTGGATGGTTGTGGCCCCGCCCCCAGCATGCCCAGCGTCATAACGTCACTTCCTGGTGACGCGCACGCCTGGGTGGGGTTCCCCCCGGGGCCCGATTCCGCGGCGGCGGAAATCGGGCCTCCAAAGCGGGGGTTTACCCGCCACCCGCCCCCACTTGGCAGCCCTAATCATAGGGGTGATGGCCACAGAAGAGAGCAAATGCCCCTTCTGTTAATTCCTGAATCACTGCAGCATAGGGCATTTCTTTGAGCCTGAACTCAGATTGCAAAGGAAGGTGAAATGCTTACTGCATTAATCAAAGCACTGCAGCATACACTTCAAAAACCCAGTGGTTTTGAACCATATGTCAAGATTGCCTGAATGTGTGCAGATGTTTCAAAGAGACACAAGCAGCAGGACTGCCAACCTCCAGGTGGGGCCTGGAGTTCTCTTGGAATCACAACTGATCTCCAGACTACAGAGACCAGTTCCCATTGAGAAAAGGGCAGCTTTGGAGGGTCGGCTATGGCATCGTATCCCTGCTGAGCCCCCCCCCCCGGCCCTCTGTAGGCTCTGTCCCCAAACCTCCAGGAATTTCCCATCCTGGAGTTGGAACCCTACCATGCAAGTGTCTTAAGAGCAATGAGAGGAACTATGGTTTGTATATGTTTGTGCCCCATGTAAGCATGTGCAGATCATGTATGGTATTAACAGGAACTTTAAATAGAACTTCTGATGGCTGCTGTTTAAAATATCTGCCTGGTACCTTTAATGAGCGCAATTGATATGTTAATAGATACAATAAAATATTAAACACTGTTTCTGCTAATTGTAAACACTGTTTCTGCTAATTGTAGAACTGAAAGAGAAATGGTCTGTTCTACTACAAGGGACCAGAGTTGAGATATATATTTGAAGGTATGCCTTTCTCTTTAAAATCCAGTATACAAGATAATATTTTAATCTATTAAAATATTTCTGGCCCATAACTATATACTTGTTTGTGGCATAAATCTAGTACCCTGCAGTGATTATGGGGTTGTACAAGTTTATGGACAATGCTCCAGCAACCATAGAAACATCAACTGCAATATATAGACAGGAGTAATCAAAACTGACTTATAATTGTTGCTTATAGCCCCAGGGAAGACAGGGAGAGGGAGCCAGGATACAAACCTAAAACTGTGAGGGTTGGGTGAGATGCCTCTTGAGAACTGTGCTCTTTTCAGGTCTAAATTTCTGCTCATTAACCTGGTTTTGCAGTTTTTAGCTCTGCAAAGTCATCTCGTGATTGACAGAAAGGCCCTTCTGAATCTAGACTTCATTTTTAATCATTGTCTGCACATATGGTGAAGGTTGGTAGGCTTTCTCATGGAACAGTCTGCTTGTGACAGGCAAAGCTGTGTAGCAGAAGGTGATCAGACTATTCAGGAAGTTTCTTGTCAATTTTGGGAGATGAAGAAGTCAAAGAGAAAGGAATCAGAGTGCAGCAACAGCACAGAATGTGTCACTGGGGGAAATGGAAGTCTGACATTTCAGTGGGCTGCTGTATGTGTGACTCACCCCAGGATGGCAACCAAATGCAAGACTTGCCTCCTGCTGCAGGGAAATCCTTTTGGAGGGGAAAATCAGGCAACTGATAGAGGGGTTGGCCTTGGTGGCCCTGATGAGGGCAGAAAGGTAGGGTATAAATCCTGTAAATAAATAAAATGTAGCCAAAAGCAAACCTAATTTACAAAAAATGGTTTTCAAAGAGAAAAAAATCTACTAATTTCTTTAGCTGATATAAAACAAATAATAAAACCAACAGTTGCCTATGCTGAAAACAGAGTCACTAGGTTGTGAGAGCAAATGCCATATCTTAGAGGCAGGGCATGACTGCATATATTGGTTGCGCATGTCATAATTTTGCACTTGATGGTCACATGCTAAAAATGCCAAAGCTGAAATGCTCTTTTTCACCCAGAATGTAAATTGTGTATACACACCCACTTGTACTAGGGATAGAGAGACAGAAAGAGAGAGAAATAACGACCCTAGTGAAAACAAAGGTAAAGATTGTGGGGGAAATTAGGGAGTACTAATATAGACAAAAGGCTGCTCTTCCTTATTCGTGTTCTACATGATGACTCCACCCTACGGGTGAGATACACTCCATTGGGACTCCTCACAGAACCTATTAACATTTGCAAGGGAGTAAGACAGGGCTTGGCCCCTTGTAATGCAAGATTCTTATCAACCGAACTGGATTCTTTGGGCTGAGGGAAGCCTTGAAAGAACGAGTCCTTTACCGGGTGCTCTTTTGTTGCAGACCATTGATCAAGCAAAATCTACAGTTAGGCAAAGGATCTGTGACATGGAACGTCAGCAAGATTTAATGAAGTCTCCTGGCTTCAGGACACCTAAGAAGACAAAATACATCATGTCAATGGCCAAATATCTTAAAACCTTAGAGTCCCCCTCTTACAGGAGGGCTTTTACACTGGCCATATGTAATGCCATGCCCTCCATGATCTTGGAAGGGAGATATAAGAAGATCACATACTCAGAAAGGATTTGCCCTTGCCCCCTGGCAGAGGTGGGGACAATGGGACATGTTTTCCCCCCCATTGCCCTCTCTATAAACAAATTCGTGTTAACACCATTTTTTCCCTTGTAGACAGTCCTGTGGTAGGGGCAGACAAGAATTGTTTAGATAAGTTATTAACAGAGGAAATTTCAGTTATCACTAAGCTAACTGCTAGATTTTGTGATTAAAGTGCGCAGTAAAGTTCAGTCCTGCCCCTTTGAGCCTTGACTTAGTTTCCTTCAGGGGTCTCTTATACAGCTCTGGTTCCTCTTAAATACCTTGGTTTAAATTTTAAAAATGGTCACTTATGTTATGTTATGTATTTTATAATCTATTTCCCCCTTTTTAATATAATATATGGTTTTTTGTAAATTATTTTATTCCTATATTTTAACTGGAGTTTTTAACTTGTATATTTGAATACCTGAACAATGTTTGTTTTTGTTAACTAGATCTGGTCATGGACTGTAATATAATAAAAGTGAAGTGAATTGAACTCTTATCTAAAACTTTTGTCTATCAATTCCATTTAAATTTAATCAATTCAAAACCCAGATGCAAGCGCAAATGCCCAGAGCACTCATGAACAAAACAGTGAAATCTTCTTGAACTCCAGCTAAGAATGACAATTGCATTACTCAGCATACAAAGCCAGGCACCAAAACGGTATGCATTACTAGATTTAAACAGGAGTTTTTAATTTCACTGTTGCACCTCTGAGAGTTTGTTCATGGGTCTCAGGGTCTGTCTCTTGTTATTTTTATTCTAGAAAAACATATGATTTTGCCCTTTGCCAAAGAAATCTCATGCCGTTTGAGCCACATACAGTGACCTTTCTTAAACACTGTGAAACTACAGCTAGGGGGGGCATCAAGGGTTGCCATCTACCAAAGTTCATTGCCCAGCAGAGGACTCACTATCTCCAGCCATCTCCTCCAGGTACTCCTTTGACCAGGAAATGGAAGGTTGTCCCAAAGGTCCATGTAATATCACAGGAACTTCTGGGGCAATCTGGTATTCCCTGGTAGAAGGAATAATGAAAGGAGATGAGCTCTTTTTAAAAACCTGTTAGTGGGGGCACATCTAGAGAGAAAGAGCTGTCCTCCACTTTCTCCAGCATAGCTGCCACTGAGGGAGGAAAACTACACGGAGGAGCCCAAGGGCCTCTCTAAACCCGCAGCTATCCCTGTTCACCTCTCCCTTCCCACCCAAGTGTAGGAGACGTTCCATGGCCCCTTCAAAATCTCATTGGGTAGACATGCTGTCCCTGGTAACCTGTGTACCTGTTTTTTTCTCACCCAATTTCTTTATGAGCTCATAATCTCTGGCAAGTTTTTATACCTTTGACACTGCTTCTCCCTACAGCTTCTGCGAGCACTCTTGCCCCTTTGCTCATCTCTTGTGTTACTCATTATTATTATTATCATTATTATTACACTGAATTTCTGAATCACCCCATACCTGAGTACGACAGGCAATTTACAACAGGTTAAAAACATACAAATACAATTTAAAATCGATAGATCAACTAATCCTAGTTACACAATCTCCAGATGGCATCTATAATTTAGTCTAAAACCTGCTCTGGTCTGTTCTTCTGTCTCATGGGCAGGTTAGGAGGCTGAAGCGGTAAGATGGGGAAAAAAAAGAAGAGGAGGGTGCCAGCCAGTGTTCCCTCTAAGCTGAGTTAGTGTGAGCTAGCTCACAGATTTTTAGCCTCCGACTCACACACTTTTGTCTTAGCTCAGGAAGGATGGCTCCAGTCCAGAGCAAACGAATTTATGCAGTAGCCAAAATGCTTGCTCATAACTTTAATGCCAGTAGCTCACAAGGTAGAACTTTCGCTCACAAGACTCCACAGCTTAGAGGGAGCATTGCCAGCTATGATGGAAAATCGTTGCTGTCCTCTACCAAAAGCCTGGCGGAACATTTCTACCTTACAGGCTCTGTGGAATTGCATTAAGTCCCACAGGGGCCTGATGGAAGTTGGCAGAGAGTTCCACCAGGTCAGAGCCAGCAGATTGCTCTCAGCTGAGCATAACGCTCTCTCAGGGACATACCAGAGGAGACAGTCCCAAAGATATGCTGGTCCCAGGCCTTAAAGGTCAGTACCAGCACCTTGAATCTGACTCGGTATTGCACTGGAAGCCAGTGTATCTGGCACAGCACAGGTTGCATATGTGCCATCTGTGGCGTCCCCATCAGGACGTGCACCACCGCATTCTGGATCAGCTGGAGTTCCCAGGTCAGTTTCAGGGCAGCGTAGAGTGACATGATTGTGTGGAAGAGAAAATAACTGGCTATCTTCCCCCTCCTTAATATAACCAGGGCAAAAACATTTTTGATTCAGTGAAATTATGTGTGTGGGGGAGTGCCATATCAGCTCTCCACCCTCTAAAGGTTGCCACCTCCAGGTTGGAAAATACCTGGAGATTTTTGGGGTGGAGCCTGAGGGTGGAAGAGTTTTGAGAGGGGAGGGACATTAAGCAGCCATTTTCTCCAGGTGAACTAATCTCTGTTGCCTGGAGATCAGTTGTGAGTGAACCCAGGAGATCTCCAGCCAACAACTAGAGATTGGCTACCCTCCCACCCACCAATGTTTTTAGATACAAAAGGCACATTAAGAACTTGTCACAGAACTCAAAACGCCACATCTAATACACCCTACATTTCCCCAAACAGTTTATTACTACCAGGAAAAAGGGCCATTGCAATGGCGAGCAACATCTGGAATCTGGAGGCCATGGGCCCTGCTGGCTGTGTGGTGCCTGGGCCTGATAACATATAGTTCCAGATGAGAAATGAATGAAACGGAGTCTCCCTTTACAGAATAAGGTGTCAGTGTCTCTTCCAAGACCAATCTTTAGATTTCTTAAAAAATTAGATTTTGCCTTGAGACTTTATTTTCCATAGTGAAATAGTCTATACCTTTCCCTATACGTAAAAGCATCTTTGGTGGGTAGAGTTCAGCCCTCCCCCCGATCACCAATCAACTCCCGCCGGCTGCATTCTATTAAAAAGTAAGTTGTCATGAAAAAGAATCACTCAGTCCTAAAAATTCTGGAGGAGCGACCCTGTTAATCTGTTGCAACGAAACCCGAACACCTTAAAGACTAACGCGTTTTGAGTTCATAGGGACTCATCGTACGGAGGAATCCTGCAACTATCCCCTTCTCTACATCTCAGAACACCTTCCAAACTATTCTGCAACCTTATAAAGCAAAGAGCTTACTTCAGAATAGCCCTACCGAGCCGTCAAGATAACACAGAGACTGTGCGATTCTCCTAAGGAAGAAATTCGGACGTACTTCTACCAATAGAGAAACAAGAGGAAGCGGACGCTACAGCCAGACCACAACAGCTTGCGATAGTTCTCCGTCCAATCGGAAACGCCAAAGGCTGACGGACAGCTCAGGATAGAGGAATCGTAAAGCGCGAAACTCTTTTAGGCCAATCAGAACGCCTGGGGAGGGAAAGGTCTGGCAATTCAGCAGTTCCCGCGTTTAGCAATCTTTTTGTTGTCTGCTTTATCCCTGGGCCAATAGCTGAGCAGACGGGGAGGAGCTGCGCCTCATCTTCTCGCGGTTATATTTTTTGGAGGGCCCACAACCGGCCAATGGCAGAGAGACGAAGGAGAGTTTGTGCCGTGATTGGGCGTCTGTGTGTTCTGGCGCCAAGTTCGAAGCCCATATAAAGCGGCAACTAGGCCGGCTTTTTCCTTTGTCGCTAGCGGACTTTGCGGAATTCCGACCGATCTCTTCGTTTCTTTTTCTCTTTCCCGCCGTGAATAAAATGCTGTCCTCCCGCCACCCGCTCTCGGCTCGCAACGAGCAGAACCCCACCTCGCCCCGTGTGTCGCCGCTGAAGAAATTAGCCTTAAGCGAGAAGGAGAACACGGTGAGTGCGTTCGAGCGGCCGGATAGAGGGAGATGATCAGGCCATGGGGGAGGGAGGGAGGGAGGGGGCCATCGTGCCAGTGCCTTAACGAGCAACAAACCTTTTTCTCCCTTCGCCCGTGTAAGTAATTGAGTAGTCTCAGGTGAGTAGCCGTGTTGGTCTGAAACCACAGAACAAAGTTTGAGCGGCATTTTTAAAGACCAACTAAGTGTAATTCTGGGTAGAAGCTTTCGTGTGCATGCACACTTCAGATGAATGTTTCTGATGAGGTGTGCATGCACACGAAAGCTTCTACCCAGAATTACACTTAGTTGGTCTTTAAAAATGCCGCTCAAACTTTGTTCTGTGGTTTCAGACCAACACGGCTACTCACCTGAGACTACTCAATTACTTACACGGGCGAAGGGAGAAAAAGGTTTGTTGCTCGTTAAGGCGTTCCCGCGCGGTCTGTGTATTGCCAGCCAAATGAAGCGTCTCCTGCTCTTTGAACAGTTTGCGCCACAACAGATGGGTGCCGCGACAATCGTGGCATTCCTTGTAATTGCGGTGGGTTTCCTTTTCTAACGGGGGCAGCCTCTGAGGTCCCCCCACCCCCGCCGCTCAGACTTGCTGGGCTGACCGCCGTCCCTCTCAATCGTCTTGTCTTCCAGCCTCCATCGCTCAGCACAACCCGGGTCCTGGCTTCCAAGACAGCGAGGAAGATCTTCCTAGACGCGGTGAGTCTACGCTGGAAGATGGGCGGGGGGCTTTGCGATGAAGGGGGAGGGGGTGGCGTCCCTCCTGGCCACAGTTTCCGGTGAGGAAGGGCCTGTTCCCGCCATCACCCCCTCATTTCACCCGGTGTTGCTGATCCTGGGGCGGGGCGGACTTCCTTCTCGGTTTGGCGCCAAATGCCCCGTTCAAAAGAGTCGGAAGTTTCCTCTTTGGGCAACGGGAGCACAAGGTGTGTGTGTGTGTGCGGGATTAATCTCTTTAAAAGCCTTTGTGCCTTGATTTATTATATGGATTCAAACTATTTTCTGTGCCTGCGTTCGACTGCCATTTGAGGGGTTTTTCCCAAAACGCTAGATCTGACCAAAGGAACTCCTCATTCCTTTGTTTGGAAAGTTTTACCGACAAGCTCCTGCTTTATAAAACTGCAGTGGCTCCTAGGCCATGGTGGAAAGTGTCAAGTTCCAGCTGTCACATAGAGACCCTTTGGAGGTGGTTTGCCATTGCCTCTGGGTAGGTGGTCTCCCATCTATGGGCTAACCAGAGCCAATCTTACTTAGCTTTTGAAATCTGACCAGGTTTCCATAGCCTGGACCTTCCTCTAAGTAGAGAAGGATTTATAAACTGTGAGATAGGTGGAGTATTATGTAGCTAGCTTCCATAGGCCTTAACAGTCCTATGAGGTAAGGTAGGCAGTAAGCAAAAAAAAAAAAAAATCAGTTTAATTGCTGAGTTTAGGACCTGAACAGTTAGTCTTCTAATCATTTTCCTGTTATTGTCCCAAGTTTACATATTGCTTCCTGTGTATCAGACATGATAATACCATCCCCATTCTTGCCACTCCGTAAATTACCTGGTCCCTAATGATTGTTTTGTCTCCTTTTTTAACTTACTTGAATTTCCCCCCTCTGTTCTGAGAAGAAGTAATTTTGGTGTGGAATTTCATTGACCAATTCTTTCATTTAATATTTAATTTGTTAAAAAAATGTATAAATCCTGATGCACAGTGAGTCAAGGAGATTAATAAATCTACACATCCTGCATACAGTTCAGTGAGATAAATGACTATTAATGGACCTGTACATTGTACTTAAAAGACTCAGGTGACTACACATACTTAATAATAACTGAGCAATATATATTTATATATACACACATACACATTAACACATAGGTATTGTTCCATGTAAATCTGATAATATGTCAGTTTTGTCAGCGTAAGCTGCCATACACGATTAAACCAATCATAACTATATGGGATGTTCTTTTTCCAATTAGCAGCTATATCCATTTATGTGGCAGTAACCAAACTCAAGACCAGTTCTACCAGGGAAATAATACTAAGTAAGGTCTTTTTATTTTAATTTCTATTCTAATTTCTGCTTAAGGTGATAGACGTATGAACAGTACTAGATACATAGATAAACAGACAGACCAGTTCCATATCTGAGAAAAATATGTACTCTTTCAGAAAACCTTCAAAAATCACTTTGGATTGAAGGGAATATGACTTCTTAGCATTTGATTAATAAAACCGAATAACATATTGCTAGACAGGCTGAATTTTAAAACAGGTCCAAGAGATATGCATCCAGTCTGCATTGAACATGCCACATCTCCAACAATTCTCAACATTCTTATATATCTTCACTAATTTAGGGGATGTCAAGTACTATTAGAATAATACCTTTAAGAAATTTTCCTTCATATTTAGAGAGCATCATTCCATATCTACTGTCATTCACCCATATAGATGTCTAATTCTAAACTAATTCCTGCCACCTCTCTTTGTTAATTGTGCTACACATCTTTGTTTTCCATAGGTAACTTTTGTTTCAGTCTTCTCAGTCATACTCCTCTTTCATATATATTAATGTACTTATACCCTGCTTTTCTCCCTAGTGGGAATCCAAAATGGCTTTCAGCATCTCCTCTCCTCTGTTTCATCCTCACAACGTTTCATTTTTACAAAACTTACCTGCTTCTGTTTTCATTAGCTTTCTAAGAACGGGTCAGTATATTAAATGAGGACCTTTTTTTTTTAGGATGTTCCTAAAAGTGCTAAGCTACCTTCAAACAACATACAAGACGAACCCCTGCTTCAAGAAAATCCCCGTCGCTTTGTCATCTTTCCCATTCAGTACCATGATATCTGGCAGATGTACAAGAAAGCAGAGGCTTCCTTCTGGACGGCTGAAGAGGTGTGAGGATAGAGAATTCATCTTGTAGATTTTGGCGGGGGGGGGAGATATAGTTCAATGCACAACATGTGGTTTGTGCAGGTAAGGTATTTAGGTTAAGCCCCTGTTAAATGTTCTTTGGTATTAAGTGCTGGCAAAGAGCTTTGCTCTGCCTGGGATCCTAGGGAGCTACTACCAATCAGAGTAGACTTCACTGAGCAGATTGACCAATATTCTAACTTCGTATATGGCAGATTCTTAGCTAGTGTGAGATATAAGCATGATGTGAGCAGGGAGTGTTTGGTAATTTTCTGGGTGTTTTATACATTCTGGCATGCTTTACTGCATCTCACAGTGATTGCTGTCTGTTTAGGTGGATCTCTCCAAAGATATTCAGCACTGGGAATCCTTAAAGCCTGAAGAAAAGTATTTCATTTCACATGTTTTGGCATTCTTTGCTGCAAGTGATGGCATTGTCAATGAAAATTTGGTAAGCATGTGGATAAAAAGAAACCAAGATGTTGTCTAGTCCAGCTTGTTGACCTCCTGTAAAATCTTCCATATTAATGCCTTTCCAAACTAAAAGCACCATTTATTTACTTAACTTGTAGACCTCCTTTCTCACAGACACTCAAGACAGATTACACAGTTTAAAAACAATGCAGATAAGACAATATTATACAAACCATGCAATGAATCCTGGCTTCAAGGTTATGAAAACACTCCAAACATAGAATATACAGTGAACAATGTCATGTCAGTTTCAGAGCCTATAGCACTATTCCCTTTGCATAAACACCCTCTTAAATAATTCTGTCTTATGCATTCTGTGGAATGATAAAAGCGTGAGGCCTTCCTGATCCCTTCAGGTAGGCCGTTCCACAAGGTGGGTGCCACACCAGAAAAAACTGAGGTAAAAGCAGTTGATTTTATGCATAACAGGATGATCCACAGGGTACACACCAGATGCATGAGCAAAGGTGCCTTAAGCCAAAGGTGGTAGGGTATTTTAAGCAGATGTTCACAATAATAATAATGTGCTGCCTGAGAATGTAATACAGCAAGCTAGTCCTTACTGATGTGCCCTCATGCAACTAAATGAGATCAGTTATGGCCAATCTACACATTACAGCTGCCGTGGGAAAGCTACTTTAAACCTTTCGAAATGTCAGCTTCATTGTAAGTAGCTTATGTGGAGCATCTTACAACAAAGAATAATAGTTGTTTTCTCCATATCATCTTTCCTTTGAATCTGGCTTTGAGATCAAGAAGGAATGCAACAAATTGGGTGCTTTTCAGTTTTGAAGGGAAGATGGCTTAGGGGGCAGATATGTTAGAGGTTTATGAAATACTTAACTGAATTGTGGAATTCACTGCCAGTGATGTAGCAGTGGACACCAGCATATATACCTTGAAAAGAGGGTTAAGGAGATACATGGAAGATAGGTTCATCGTTGGTGAGTAAAGGGAACCTCTGTCTACAGAGGCCGCAAACCTGTGAATACCTGTGCTAGGAGGTGGCATCAGTGGAAGGCTATTCCCTGTTGACCCTTCAGGGCAAATGGTTCGTGGCTGTATGAACAGAATGCTGGACAAGATGGGCTGACCCAGCAGGCACCTCTTATGTTTATGTTTTTAAGACTCACCAGCTATTCCCAGATAAGACTCTTCTTGGACTTCTAGGTATATTACCACTTGTGAATGGTATCTGCCTTAGAACAGATACTGCAGACAAATTGCCACGTTTTTGTTAAATGATTGTATTTCAGTAAATATCACCTTGATGCATGCAACCGAAAACAAAACATTAAAGCATTGTCCAAGTTTTTGGAACTGATTGCCGTAGGAATAAGCTACAACTAAATAATGGGATGTAGTACAGAAAACTGCTACCTTATCTTTTTTACTATGTGAGCAGCTTTCAAAAGTGATACTCCATAATGCAAATCATACATACTTCAAAATCTTTACATTCTTCAGTTTATTTGCTTAACATATTTCTTCTGCTGACAGGTACATTTGGCTGCTTAGTCTGTGTCTCTAGGGATAAAAATTGAACCTTGGCAATTTTGAGAACTTCTGAGCAGTTTCTGTTAAGAGATCTGGGATAATTTGTGGCACGTGAATGAAATCTTCCTTCAGATGTTTATATTGCTGGAAGGCAGCTCCCCATAAGTACTGTGTTCAAATTGGGCTTCATATTGGTTAGAAGTGTTTGCAAAATAGGGGCAGCTTTTGTAGGTAGGCCATTTCTTTCTCTAACCACTAGATTTTGGTTGCTGCAGTGTTTTACTTCTGCTTATTTTAACCTGATCCAAAAGTATATACAGAAAGTGCATGTGGAAACAGACATGCTATAGCCATGAGAGCAAGTGTGTATAAGGCTGGTTCATGTACAGGTTGATCACTAGATGATTGTAGTGTGTGTGAATGGGCCATCAGAGAGAGCTTTCATATCAGTCAGTGCCAGAGTAATCAAGTGGTGTGAGAGCTTAGTGCACAGTTAAATATATTAAAATCTGGTTTAAAACATTTTCCCCCCTGGAATCAGGAAACATGTGGAGGATATAGGAGAAATTCTTGGGAAGTTTGCTCTTTTATCTGGAGTAGTTTTGCCATTTGTAAAAGTGTTTGGAAGTTTCTGAGCTCCACAGAACTCTTGAGCAAAAGGAATACTAGACCACAATGAGTTGCACAGGCCTTTGTTTTTTAGGTTAACCGCAGTGAATTATTGGGATGAAGGAGAAGTGCATATAACATATCTGTAGGTTTCTGTTTAACCTGTTAGCAAAAAGTGACATGTTGCTGTGGTCCATTGCTGATTTCCAGTGTATTTTACTAATACTTTATCTGAGTATTAAACAACTTTGCATATGTTGGTTCAAAAACAAGCCCCCAAATAAATATGCAATTACTCTAAAATGGGAGAGATGCTTTGTAACTTAAATAACATTATGTGTCTCAGTTAATTACTCTCAGCATTTCACAATTAAGGATACATATGCCAATCTCCAATTTTGACATTTATTTATTTCACTATATTTTCTCCTGGAATTGAACCCAAACAAATGGTAACCATAATAACTAAGCTTGTTATTCCTGTTTGGTCCTTGAAACAGTTAAGCATCTTCATCCCTCTACCTATCTGTATGAACTGGTAATTTTTATTTCACTGTATTTGAAGAAGTGTGTGTGCATACAGAAGGTTATACCTTGAATAAAACCTTATTGATCTTATAGGTGCCACTTCACTCAAACTTTGTTATAATGTGTCCTGTAGGTGGAACGATTCAGCCAGGAAGTACAGGTCACAGAGGCTCGCTGTTTCTATGGGTTCCAGATTGCTATGGAAAACATCCATTCAGAAATGTATAGTTTGCTTATTGACACTTACATCAAGGATCCCAAAGAGAGGTTGGTTCTGTTTTGAGATACTTATGGCTTGCTATTCCTGGATTGACATTTTCCAGTAAATGATCGCACAAATAATACACATGCTAACATGTTTAGTCCTCCTTGGCTCTTAAGAAAAAAACACTGAGTTCTGCATTATTTCAAACCATGATTTTCAGATAGTTGAATGAGTTTTGCACAACATCCTTTTGGAAAGGTATCTGTTGTCTGCTTGGAAAATGTACATACAGCTGTTATGTAAAGATTGTTTGATACTTTTACTACTGTCTAGGCCATTAAAAGATAATCTTGGCTGTGTAGCTTAATCTTTTCCACAGTGTGGTTTCTGTAGCTTTATCATGTAACCTAGGGTCAAATTCCTGTGAGTTTGTCAGCCTAATCTACCTTAAAGGGTGGTTGGGAGGACTGCTAATTGTGTATTTAATTGTATCATGCTATGCTTCCAGGGAATTTCTGTTCAATGCCATCGAAACACTTCCGTGTGTTAAACAGAAAGCTGATTGGGCTATGCACTGGATTGGGGATAAACAGGCCAGTTATGGTAAGTGTCACTTGGGCTGTCCTTTCTGTTTACGTTTCCAGTACAACAGGTGACATTGTAAAATCAGTGTTGATACTTGTCCCAACAGGAGAACGCATAGTTGCTTTCGCTGCAGTGGAAGGTATCTTCTTTTCTGGTTCTTTTGCATCAATTTTTTGGTTGAAGAAACGGGGGCTGATGCCCGGACTCACTTTTTCCAATGAACTCATCAGCAGAGATGAGGTAAGTCTCAGATTCCTTTGATCCACTGTGCACTTTAGTTGGGAGAATCTCACATTTAACTCAGTGGCATTTTTAAATCAATATGTTGAAGACTGTGTTACATGGTTCCTACCAAGCTGTGTAATAACATGCTTCACAGCATCTGATAAACCCTTGAATGAGCAGTAGTTTTTGTGAACCAGAATTCTGTTACAAAGCTCAGTGCTTGGGAGTCAAACTTTTATAGAAGATGAAAATGACTTAAGGCTGTTTTGTTATTAACAATGGGAAGACTGAATTCATAATGGGTAAAATAGCAGAAAGTCACAAACATAACACGTTAAGGGGAGATATCTCCAATTTTACAGAAAGCTGGTTCCCAGTCTTGACATATTTTGCCTCAAGTGAAATCATTCCAAATAATGTTGAATATCAAAAAATGTTAACTTTCTGACATAATGATAACGTTTTAGTACTTGGCAGTTTATGTCCTTGTTGTTGACTTTTATGCTCCTACCAATATATTCATTATCGGCTATTATCCCCAGTTTAATCTGTTTATCTATTTAATGTGTTGTTTTGATTTTGGTACCCTGTTGATTCAAATCTGTTTTCTCTTTATTGTTTGCAATTGTATACTAAAATAATTTAAAAAAAAACAGTGGGGAGACTGAAGAGTGCCTAGGTGCTGATGTGTAACTCATACAGAATCTCTTCCTTTCACTCTAGATCTTTCGGGTTTGCTGGTAATTTAGAGGTAGCATTCTTCATAGCTATTCTCTGAAGTATCTTCCAATTATTTTTTTCCAGGGTTTGCACTGTGATTTTGCTTGTCTGATGTTCAAACACCTGGTACACAAACCATCTGAGGAGCGAGTGAGAGACATCATCACTAATGCTGTCAGGATAGAACAGGTAATTGGCAGTTTTTTTCTGGTGGTGGTGAAAAAGCACCTGCATCAAAGTATGGAAAGCTTAAAACTTAGCGGGGGCATTAAGTTATAAAGTTATGGATAGTACAGCATTTGCATACTAAGTCACTTTGTTCACTTAAATGCAGGAGTTCTTGACAGAAGCGCTGCCTGTAAAGCTAATTGGCATGAATTGCACTTTAATGAAGCAGTATATTGAATTTGTAGCAGACAGACTGATGCTGGAGCTTGGTTTTAACAAGGTAAGTTCTGTGCAGTTTGTCTCCTAAGGAATGCAGTTTGTTACATTTAGGGCCTGCTTTTCCCATTAAGCAATTGCTACTTGGCTCATTAGTGGTTATTTTGGTTTTCACAAGGCGCTTACACAGGTGTGTGGCTTATTTATTTCAATTTAGAACATGCCAAAAGGCACTCCAGATGAACATGGTCCTAAAATGTAATCTTTTCGGGGGATGGCTTCTTTTTTTCTACTGCTGCTCATTCATTGTGAGAGATGAGTGTGCTTCTTGCCACAAAGATCTTAAAGCCTCTGGGTACTCTATAGACCCTTCCAAGAAGAACAGCAGAATACAAATGTTAAAATGACAGTAATTCAGAGATTGGCTAACTTAGCCTTTGCATGATAATTTTCTGTACTGGAATCCCTGTGGTCTGCTAGTGTTAAACTTTAGAAAGAAAGAGTGCATGTTCTAGCAGTTGAAGTATAAATAAGGCCTGATCTACACATATGCTGGAATGGGGCAATGGAACCTTGAGGTGGCAAAAAAAGTCTCCTGGGAGAAGACAAGTGCCTAATACTGTCAGACCCAAAGCCCACTCAAGATAAAAGCACGTAACATGCTAAGCGAGATGGAAATGGTCTTGGAATACAAGTTTTCTGCCTTGAAAGCAAATGCATTTCTAATGCAGCAAGCCACACTTGGAAGGCATGTCTGTCTTCACTCCTTCAGTCCAGCAACTACAATGTGTTTGAAGGCCTACTGGAAAATAAACTGCTAGTGGGACTGCTGAGTACTCAGCAAGCTTTCATGGAAGAGTGGGGATTCGAACCCGCATCTTCACATATCATAGTCCCAACAATCTAATCAGTATGGAAGTTATATTTTAAAACCCAGGGAGCTGTAGTGGGGGGGGGACACAGATGGAATAGAAAGATGAATAGAAACTAGAGGAGAGCAGAACATAAATTAAAATGTAGTTTGCTTGGAACAGATAAAAACTTGTGCGAGTTTGGATCCACATGTTGTCACTTTCTTTTTTCAGATATTCAGGGGAGAGAATCCATTTGACTTCATGGAAAATATTTCCCTGGAAGGCAAAACCAACTTTTTTGAAAAGCGTGTAGGAGAATATCAGAGGATGGGAGTGATGTCAAAACCCACAGATAACTCTTTCACTTTGGATGCCGAATTCTAGATGCAGAAGGACAGTCTCCAGCTAAGCTTGACAACTGCTAGCTGTGTTTGCCCTATGGCCCTCAACATTCGTTCTTGCATGTGTGCTGGTACTTTAGAAACGTTTGTGTAGCTAAAGCAGGAAAGCAATTAAGGGTTAACTTCAGTGTATTTTGTAACAATACAAAAGCTACTCAATCTTTTAAAAAATACTTGAAGTGGCATGCTCCATTCCCTGGTAATTGGACACCAGTAGTCCATCCACAGCAGAGCGAAGTAGAATGGGACCACTCTTTAGAACGCGACAGGGTATCTTACTTGAACTGCAGGAAGTTACAGGCTCTATGGGCTGGGTCTTATGAACCATAGGTGTAAAGCACTGGCAGCGTCAGATCTTCCCCTGCCTTCCTTCAGCAGCGACTTGAGACTCCCCGGAAACCAGTGCTGGGAAAAGATGTGTGTGTCAAAGGAAACTTGTGGACAAAAGACCTTGATGGATTGCAATAAGGAGAGGGGGAGTCTGGTGAAATCACCTCCACCACCTCCTTTCTACTAGCAAATGGAGTGCTGCAGAACAAGGTTTCCATCGATGCAGGATTGCTCACAAGGTTACTGTAACCCCCCCCTGCATCAGCTTTTTGGGAGTCTTAAAGCTCTGAGAGGGGAAGGTGGGTGAGATCCAGGAGCACGTTACACTCACAGTTCATAGGATGCAGCCTTCTGTAACTACATCGCCTCTTAGCTGGTTTTAAGTTTATTTACTCTTTTAATAGTTTGTACGTAAACCTGGCACTTTAAATAAAGGTCTGGCCTGCGATTCCTGGAAAAGGCTGGCCATGCATGTGAGTTTAGAATAAACTCTTTTTAGACTTCTGTTTGCTGTAACTTGGTTGTTGTACTCTTATTTTACCTGTGTAAAATTGTACGTGCTGAAATGGAAAACCATTTTGAACATGTGTAGCTTCTGACAAAGTACTTAAATGGCCTTGGAGTGGAAGCAAAACTCTAAATAAAACTCCAGTTCAAGTGCTGGATCAAAATGTTTGGCTGTCAATGCTTTTCCAGCTAGTGAGGAAATCAGCCCTTTCTCTGCCTTAATCCTCTGCATAGGTTCCCCTGTCTCCCTGGAGCTGCCTTTCACGGAAATCAGTGAGCTGCAGTAGAAGGGGGAGTTGGGTGGGTGGAAGTATGGTGTCATTTGGTCTGGATACAACCCATGGTTAATGGCTTTGGCAACAGACAATGAAAAGAAAAGTTAAAAAAACTCCAGTCCATTAGGTGTGCTGACCTTAAAAGAAGGTTTTCTGGTAACCATTTCTTATCCTTTAGCAATGTGGTGCTTCCCAGATTTATACACTGTTCCTTTTTGGTTTATGATCCTCATAGTGTGACTGAGGACTGAGTGAAGTATTCTACAAAGTCTGCAGTGAATGTAAGGTCAATACGAGGGTAACTTTGGTCTGAGAAGACTTGGATTACAAAAGAATGCAGATTCTTGAGATCTACAACTTTGAATGCAGTAGCTGGGGGGGGGTAGTAGAACTTGCTAGGTTTTGCTGTATGCTGGGAGTGGTTTGCTGCCTTCTAGACTTGGTGGAAAATATAATGGACTGGTCTTTTGAACCCTCATCAATAACTTCTTGGCATTTTATGGCGGTAACGGAGAATGTGTCAGCAATGTTTTCTAGCTGTGAATTTGCATAACCCTAGTTAGGAATGACTTAGACATTTATGGAAAACGGTCATTGACCAGCATAAATCGTGTAATACTATAGATATGACATCAAGGAATCTTGCCAACAATGTATACACAGCAATATTTAAAACACTAAAATGGTACTATCTCTTGGCGTGTTTTATACGCAACTGAAAAGAATTTCACACTAGAGGCTGACTGTTGGATTATAGCACCCATAAGAAGCATTTTGCAAAGTTCTGTGTCAGAGTGACCCAAAAATTTTATTAAGAAGGGGGGAATAGTCTTTTTACGGATTTCCTTATAAAAACGGCAATGTAATAAAACATGTTTGATTGTTTCAACTCACCATCTCTGCAAGGACATACCCTGTCATGCATGGGAATCTTTCTAAACCTCCCCTCTACCAGAAGATGAGGTTGAAACCAGTTAGGAATGTTGGCTCCACAAGCCTGGTTTAATTTTTTCATGTTTCTAATTAGTCATTTCCCACTACTAGTATGTTGGCATCTAATTTTCTTCTTTTAGACTGTGGACTCTTGACATGTTTTAAACGCTAAATAAGTGCACATGTGGTTCTCACCAAATATTGATGGGGTGGTTAAAAAGATGTTTTTATGAGTGAGTAGTAGTAAAGGTTGTATAATATCAAACACCCCCCTTCTCTCCCAAGAAATTATTACTGTGCCTATAGTAACAGGTGTGTTCAGTGCTTATTTTTAGATAACAGGAAAAGTCTTTGATAAAGGAGGGGATAGATAAGAGCAAATTCAAAAAAAGAAAAGTCATAATAGAGGGGAGAGTAGATAAATGTAGAATTTCAATTTTTACACTGGCTTTAATAAGCCATGCAGAAGACATGAGTCAAAAAGAAAAACAACTGTTTGCTAAATCTCTGCAAAATTACTGCAGGGGGAGGTTGGTGGTGGTGTCTTTTAGAGTGAAGGCCGTTATCAATGTTGTAACCAGTTCCCTGTGCTGTTTTATTGGGGGGGGGGGAGTGAACATTGTAGCTTTGCAAATCCTGCACCATTTATTTACAGCTATCTAATGAGATAAATGTCAGCAAATGTTATCAACTAGCTGTTTGAATCAACTGGCACATAAATCAGTCAAATTCGTTCAAATTTGACTGATTTATGTGCTAGACAGCAGTCTCGAATAGAATTGCATTGGATAATTTTCAGTTACATGCAGCTTGTTATATATCCATATTCTATCAATCTTGGCTACTGCCAGATGTTTGGGTACTAGAAAGCACAAATATATTCAATAACCGTTCTTTTGGGGAATTTACAGTAAGTTTTCAAACTTACTGCAGATTCTTAGAAACTGGAGCTTCTAGGAATTCTGCTTGGTATGCATGCATACAGATGCCACTACTAAAGTATAGCAGACAAGGATGTTGGAAGGGGTTACATTGTCACCACCATGGGGATGTGTGATTGACTGGAAGCTATCTAGAGTCACTAAAGTGGCCATGGGCAAGCCTGGGTTGGTTTTGGTCTGACAAATGCACACATCTATGGAGGTCAGTGCTCGTTGGCATGTATTAGCTCTAGAACGGGTGGTCAAACTGCAGCTCTTGGAGCCCTCTTGTGCGGCTTGTGAGACTTGAGGTTCCCCATGTCCCCCCTCTTTGAAAGTGGAGGGTTTCTTCCCCCCCTCTCTGACAGCTGGGTAGGTGGGAGGGCAGCCATGGCTTGCTTACTGGCAGCTAAGTCCCACTCCCAGCAGCCCTCAGTAGGGTTGCATGTGCTGCTGCCTCTTACTGCCACCAGGAGCCATTAAGTGTGTGGGGAAGGAGGGAGGGGGGACAGGCTGCTCCAGGCTGGGTGTGGGGGGCTCTTTTTGTAGCAGGTACTCATTTGCATATTAAGCGACACACCCCTAATGTAGCCAATCCTCCAAGAGCTTACAGTAGCCCCTGTAAGAAGAGCTCTGTAAGCTCTTGGAGGATTGGCTGCATTAGGGGTGTGTGGCCTAATATGCAAAGGAGTTCCTGCTACAAAAAGAGCCCGGGGGGTGGGGTTGGACAGCGCCCAGGCCAAAGGCGGCCTGTTCAGGCTGTCCAGAGAGTTTTTGTGCAGGCCGTGGGTGGCCTGGGTGCTCAGTTGTGGGTGGCGGAGAGTGCCCATCCTGAGCTGGCTGGTCCAGGCTAGCCTGATCTCAAGCTAAGCAGGGGGTCCTGGTTTGTAGTTGGATGGGAGAATCCAGGGTTGCTACGCAGAGGCAGGCAATGCCAAACCACACGTGTTCATCTCTTGCCTTGACCTGGACGGCCCAGGCTAGCCTGATCTCTTCAGATCTTGGAAGGTAACCAGAGTCAGCCCTGGTTAGTACTTGGATGGGAGGCCACCAAGGAAGTCCAGGGTCACTACGCAGAGGCAGGCAAGGGCAAACCACTCCTGAATTTTGCTTGCCTTGAAAACCCTGTAAGGTTGCCATAAGTTGGCTGCCACTTGATGGCACTTTACACACAGATACACACAAGCAAATGCAGAGTGCCACAGGCCCCAGGCCTTGCTTGCTGGTGTCAGCCTGACTTTCCTCCGTGTTCCATGCTTCTCGGCTTTAATTTGGCTCCCCTGTGGCCTCCTGGTCCACAGCTGGAGGGTGGTTGGTCTTCGCTTCTGGAAAGGGGAGCGTTTCCCATTTAATTTCTGTTGCCAGCTTCTCATCCAGGTTTGTGCTGGGCTCCCGCAATTAAGGAGTTTTTCTGGGTTTGGTATGATCTCTGTCTCCATGGGAGGGCCTGTGGGCAAGGTCAGTTTTAATAGTCTCAACCAGCTGGTGGTGATCAATACAAGTACTTCCCACTTCTCTGCCTGTATTTTTGGTCATTTCGCAGGAGATTCACTTGGGAGTTCTGAGATGTGCTTAACTGAGTTGTAGCCCTGGGGGGGTGGAGTGTGTGTGTGTCTTTATGACTACCCACTAAACCATTCTGCTCCTGATCAATAGATCTGTAACAAATCTGCTTTGAAAACAAGGCATCCAATTTTGCTTGGTGAGTTTCCCTTGGGGCTCATCAATGAAGTCTTTAATAGGAGAATCCGTCTGCTTTGCCAGCTGCAGCTTCCATTTTGCAAGTGAGCAAGTGGCTCTGAAAGATGGGGCACATTAGGGGGGCCTCCTTTTTTAAGGTTTCTAAAGAGGATAAAGTCTTGGCATGCCAAAGCATTCCCATGGAGAGTTTTGGAACCAGAATTGCACTAACTGGGCACTGTTGCTCATGGATTTCCTATGGTGCCCTGCTGTCAGGCACTGGGGGTCTCAGACAAGGGATTCTGGTAGTGGGACCTCTGCCCTCACTCTATCTCCATGGACCTGCTGTTTGACTCCAGTGCCACCAGTCCAGCTGGCTAGAAGGTGGTACTGGGTATCTGATGGAGATTTTACTCCTGAAGGCTCATACCCCAAAAATCTCGGTGGTCCCCAGGTGCTACTGGACTGAATCCAGCTGTTGTACTGGGTTCAGTCAGAATCAGGCAATTCAAGGCTCCAGTGGGGTTCCACTGACCCATGTATAGCCAGGAGTCTTTGGGAGTGGTGTCTAGCAAGGATGTGACATCACTTTGTGATGTCATGTCCTGTGATGTCACTTCCAGGTCAAAGGTCAGGTGATGGCACTTTCTAAGCTCCACCCCTTCCAATGATGTAACTTCCTGCACCAAAACCCCACTCCTTCTTGTGATGTCACTTTTCAAGCAATTCCCCTGAACCCGCATCTTCCTCCGACATCACCTTGTGGCTCTCGAGCAGCTGAGATTTAGTCTATGTGGCTCTTACATGAAGCAAGTTTGGCCACCCCTGCTCTAGAAATACCACAGTTACCCAAGGAAGGGGGGGAGCAAACAAAGGAACCATAACTGATTTAATGAGCCCTTCGCAGTTTCACTGTAGTGCTTGTGTGTACTTAGACATGCATGGTTTAATCTTTGAGACAAGCATGCTACCGGCAGGATCAACCAGGTACTTCCCTTCCGGAGAGAGAGGGCAGGCACGAGTGACCCTGGGTCATTCCAAGCTCTTTCAGAGCTCTCTCAGCCCCTAAAAACAAGTCTAGAAAACCACTAGTATAATGCTAAGAGCTAGAACTTGCGGCTGCCAGACAATCTTAGGATCTCCTGGCTATTCTACACACAATGCCATATAATAATTATTACTTAGCAGTGATTATGTGATATCTGGGCATGAGCTGAGCAGTCTCAGTTTGTAAAATCTGTGCCATATACTTAGTTGGGAGTCCTCAATCTTGCTCAGT